AGGATTTAAAATGATTCAATATTCACTAAAGTGAAATCAGTCCCAGAGTCCAACAGGAATCCTTCAGATCTGTTGGGGATTTAATTCCTGTCATGATAATTAAAGTCCTGTTAGTGGATCTTTAGGAGCAGCTATAATGAGACTGATGTAGCCTCTATGAGATGATGACCTGTTTGGTGTGGGTTACCCCTAACCCTAACCCTGGTGCAGAGGCTAATTCTGCCACACAAACCTTAAACAGGCGTCTTGTTTTGGTCATGGTTTAGCAGTCTGGTCACCATAAAACAACCCTGCAGAGGGAGGCTGGTCTCTGGCTGTTTGTGTCCACTAATCTGTAGTGGTTGACAGCTCTAGCTCACAACCCGCCACGATGTCTCATGCACGTTTGGTTCATGGCGTTAAACAAAGACAGCGTAGAACATCCAGAAGGAACGAGGGTGTGAGGAGAACAGCTGGCGTTTACAAGCCAGACTCGGCTGTTTTCTCAAACCTTTACAGTCGTGTTGATCACACTGAAGGATAAATACAAATTTAATTACACATTTGTTTGAGACAGAATAATTCACCACCTGTGTGACAGGTGGATCATGTGCAACTGACATGTGGCGGGATGTGCAGATCGCCCTTTTCTATTCTTTACACTGTTGCATAGCCAAAGTGCTGCAGAAGGCAAGTGGACCTCACAAGTTAACACTGCTGCAACATATGTCCCAACAGTTGTGGTGCAATGGGGACCATAAACAGAGTTTAAAGCTGGAGTCTGTAGCATGATGTCATCCAGGAGAGGAGGAGGACAATCAGGAATTAGGTCAGCTATAACTCCTGCTAATGCTCCCACAACCTGGAAGGAGCTGAAAGCTGCATCCCACACTGCACACAGAAATAATCCTGAGACAGTAACGTTGTTGGTACACCTGATCGTAACTGTTGAATTATCTCCTCAGCCTTCATGAGGTTCTGCAGGAGCTGCTAATCATAATCACAGCCAGGAATCCAGCACTTGCAATGCTAGCGCACCTCTGCTGTCAGAAAATAGTCAACAGCCTAAAGTTGACACACAAGTCCATTAACTCCAAACACACACACACACACACACACACACACACACACACACACACACACACACACACACACACACACACACACACACACACACACACACATAAAATCAGCAGGTTGGGTTAGCATTCGAGCTAGAACCATGTGCTGAGCTGCCTGAGCATCAGCGCGCTAGCCCAGAGCGCGTGCTGAGAGCTTGGGCACATGGTCGTTGACTGACGGCTCCCTCTTGTGGGTAGGGGGTTTACGCTTTAGGCCCGTGTAAATGATTTGTTTTGCTGTACGAGCCGGGGGAGGGACTAAGGAGACAGTAAATCATGAAAGGTTGTAGTCAACTTACAGCACTTTTGAAGTCCCTTTAAAATGTTTAAACTACGTTCCCCAGCTTTAACTGCAATGTCAGCCCAAGTAGTTACAGCAAAACACATGATGTTCCTCTTTCTTCAATTCCCATCTTGTATAAAAAGTACTATTGCGATTACAACAGAGGTTAATTTTTACGTTTTTTTTAAGATTTTTATCTAATTTGAATGAAAATTGGTATAGATGTAGAAGTGAATAATCTACACTGTGTCAGAGCTTGATGTCACATTGCACCTTTCACTGCAGCTGCCAGAAATCATGAGCAACATCTTGCCTTCTTTGGTGCTTTGGGTGCATTAACGGAACAAGGGGCGGAGGATGGATTAAAAAACCAGAGAAGGGTAATCCTGACTTAGAGCCTGTCCCCGGATGGTGGCCCCAGAGCAATGCTTGGTTGTCTGCAGAATGTACCTTGAAGGATGTAAAATGTCTTTTGTTTCTCTCTCTCTTCTTTCTTTATTTTTGTCTCTTGCTTTCCTACTTTTCTTTTATTTGATCTCACCATTTCGCTCTCTCTCTCGCCAGATTGTATCAGGATAGACTGTAGCCTCAGTAAGTGGTTCTATCCATTTTTCTGACTCAAATGTGTCGTCCCTCATCTCTGATTTGTACCGTGGCGCTCTCTGTTCTTCTGTCTTCATGATCACTGGTGCCTAGAAGTTTTTTGTGTTTTCTCTTTTCTAAAATATGCTTTAACTTTAATTTTTTTCATTTTCTAAGCTTCTTTTCTTAACTTGTGTTTCCCCGTGCCTTCTTCCTTCCTTTGGTGTTTTCTTTTGAAACAACTACTTGTGTGTTTTTTTTCATGAGTTCTGTCTCTATAATTTCACTCACTCACAGATGTAATGAATGTTCAATTTGCATAATTGTGCGAGTTTTCTAACCTGCTACTGTTCCACATGCCTCAAACACCCAGCTATGAATATAGTAATATTACAACACTATTCATTTTCCTGTCAGCCTTCTAAAACGATGAGAAAAGGCCAACCTGACACTTCGTTAGGTGTTTTGACTTTGTTTGTTTGTTGGAGCCACATGGCTGCACACACAGGTGTTGCTTGTTTTCTGCTGGGGACAGATTGTAGTTTTGGCCTGCAGAAAGCTAATTGCTTATCTGCAGAGAGGCAACACCGCCTGCTGTGCACTTGTTTTGGGGAAAGCTGCTGTTTTTCTACCTCATTCAGACACAATGACAGCAAAGTGTTATTTCTATCATGGCCTTTGACAGCTGAACAGCTAGAGTCTGCAGGTAAGTGGCAACAGGGACGGCGACACAAACAGAGAAAACCTGATGTTTGTGTGTTTGATGGCTGGTTTTGAATGGAGAGGATTGTGTTGATGTTTATGGCGTTCTTGCTTTAGAATAAACATTAATACTTTAAATTTCACTTTACATGCTTAGAAACCTTATCCTGATTGATCAGCTTGCATTCTCACCACTCCCCATTAAAAGTGTCCCTTTGCTCCCCACAGATCTCATGTCAGTAATCAAACTGGTAAAGGGGCCACTTTACAGTAAACGGCATCATAACCTGTTTGAAGGCTTTGGCAAGTTACAACTATTTTAGACACTTCAGGTTTTCACCTGCAGTCAGGACTCAGAATATATCAGTGTGTGTGCTTGGCCACTAGATGTCAGCGCAGCACCAATAATAAGGTGAGTTCAACAGGAAGCAGCTTGAAACTGATTTCAGTTTATCCCTACAGACCTTGGATCATCACTCTTTTAGCTTCCACAGGACAGCCTTGTTATTGTAAATGGTTTTATTTCATAATCAAGGTCAAGTCAGACGTGCACACGGGGGGGGGGGTCCTCTCTCCAGCTGTCTCTGGGCAAGCAGACAGGGTACACCCTGGGCAGTGGCTGCAAACCCATGAGACTGGTCTACAGCTATTTTAATGCATGTTTAAGAAGTTGGGGGCTAGAAGGGGTTGAAGTATTTAAGTTGTTTACAATTACCAACGTTAACTTGTTTTAATGAGCAAATTCTGAACCACGCCAAGACAAAGTAAGCTTCTCTAACTGTTCGGTAAACGTGCACCATCTCAACTTTTGACAACATTAAGCATCTTAAGCTGCCTTAAAAAGAAAGCAGGTGTTGGTGAGCTTATCTCACAGTCAGGCTGATAAACCAATTAGGATTAGAGGACATGGATACGCCCAGGTAATCCAGCCTTTCCAGAAGCTGGTCCATGTCTATCATGGGTTAAAGAACACTTTTGTTTTTGAAGCAAAATCATCATAGCTGAGGAGATAAGTTCATTATTACAAGACGCCAGACCTCCTGCTGTGACATGGCCACATTTCAAACTCCTGATGGAGTCATGTGGGTTACTTCAAACGCCAAAAGAGTTTTTAAGATAATTATTACATCAGTTCTATGTATCGTCCCTGTTGTCCTTCATGAACTTGAAATCTAACAAATGTGATGGTGCACTGGTGTAGAGATGAACATAGCGGGTGTGTTTTTTACTGCATGGGATCAAGAGTCATGCCAGATAAAAACCCTCATGCTTTAGATCCTTCAATTCCTTCAGCACTAAACTCAGATCATGTTACTGACCTTCATGGTAAAATGATGACGAAATAGATGTAATAAAGGAGGGTCAGTGAAGAAAACATCGATGGCAGGACTGAGTCTGGGAATACTTCTCTGGGATAACTCAAGATTAAGGCAAGCAAACCAGTAAAGCAGCGTCTCATTGTTCTAAAGCGTTAACGTGTTGATACGGCTGTACTTCACACGGGTAACAAAATACTTCCACAGATTTAGGAGTCAATACTTCTAAAAGTTGATAGCAGAGTTTGGACATTTTTGTGACCCATTGGTCTAGACCGTCTTTATTTTCACGTCATATCGCTGCCTTCTGTTAATGCATCGTGATGTGATAGAGAGCGGAGCCACGGCCCTCGGCTCCAGTCAGGTCAGGGTATCAGGCTGATGATATCTGTTTGGAAGGTGGCCTTTTAGCCGCCAGCAGCACCTTCTCTTGGTGTGAGATGAGATGAGATGTGGCATGACATATGGCCAGCGTGTAGGGTGCAAGCATGCCGTCTGCTGATGTCATCCCCTTTGGCCTGTCCGGCTGCATGTACCTGCTTCTAAACAGGCTGAAACACAGACTTGGTGTTTTTATACGACATAAATGAAAACCACTGTTGTAAACTGTTCATGAATCCAGTGTATCGACTTGTTTTCACTGAACTTCGTCTTTGCTGACACTTGTTCAGGACTTCTTGACATTGCTGTATAGAGTAGATCTATCATTTCTCAGTGTCCAGACTTTTTCAGAATACAGCTCCAGAACTCTGCAAACACAAGTGTAGAAGGTCAGTTCTGTAGCTTGGTGGAGACGTTTCTCCAACACATTCTCACACCTGAGGCGTTGAAAAATGACGATGGGTGACCAAACGTTCCCACGCATTGGGAGCCCCAGCACGTCGGGAGGCTGTGCCAGAGCGTCGTTTTCCGACTGCTGCGGTAAAACGGAGATTTAACCAACATTTAACCTCTGACCTTTTGCTATCTAACCTTCTCCTTACAATGGCGCCCCCAAGGGGTGGCCAGGAGAGAATGCTGACCCCCCCAAGCAAAAGCCAGTGTTACTAAATCATATTAATGTTCACTCAAACCATGAATTGATGTTGTTTATTCAGTTGTAAAACAAAATAAAAATAATACAATTAAAGAGTAAAGAAATAATCTGACTGAAAAAAACACGTTTCTGCTGCTCACCATTTAAAAAAATGTTTTTATCTCCACGTTTTTTTGTACACACAGCAACAGGTGTATTAAAATATAAAATACACTTTAAAATAACATTAGAAATAACGTTTTAAATATCTGAAATTTATTTTTCTGAAATGTTTGTTTGTAAATTTAAGTTAAAATGTTTTGGATACATACAGTTTTTTTTTTTTTTTGGTTTTTGTATAAAAACGAATAAAGGAGCAATGCAGTAAATCGCCACAGGCTAAACTCTCCCAGAGAAACCACAAGGACCAAATTGGTGTGCCACCCCAGAAATGTCTTCAGCCCCATCTGGCCACCCCTATCAGTTTTTTCTGGAGGCACCCCTGTCCCCTCACCCACATCCTAACCTTTACACAGTTTCTCATTCTAAACTTCCCGTTAACCGTGTTGGAGAAGGACGTTACAACTAGAAAGTTTTGAAAGCACAAGAGGGTGAGGGTGAGGATGGGAGTGAGGGGAAGGTTAAATAGCAAGAGGGTAAAGGTCACAAAAGGTTAAATAGCAAGAGGGTAAAGGTCACAAATCGGTCAAATGTCCGTTTTACCGCAGCAGTTGGAAATCGACGTTCTGGCACAGCGCGTCTCCTCCCGCTGGGGCTCCCAGCTCGTCAAAAACAAACGCTTGGTCACCCATCTTCATGTTTGAATGCCTCGGGTGTGAGAACATGTTGGTTACTCAGCAGTTCTCTACTGATTGAATAATTAGCCTTTCAGTCCTGAGCGTTGGCATGCCACATACAGAAGTATCCGTGAGAAAGCTGCCTCTGGCCTTTTGCAGAAACCATCAATCCCCCTTGAGGTCAGGCAGTTGAAGACAACGTGACCCAGCTGGTGTATCAGGTGTGGCATGAAAACCGTCAACTGTAACATGAAATAAGTTAGACATGTTTTTATCTTTAATCCTGCAGCTGATCGAACAGACTGGCGATCACCAAGGCACCCCGCTAACCCTCTCTGTTATAGAAGCATGATGGATAAAACATCACGTTAAAATGACAAAGCATCCTTCTAGTGTGCTTGACATTCACCAACAGCAATGATGCAATATGCTGTCATTGCACCTTGGGTTTTTGGGCGAGAGCATTGCAACATTTAGAAGAGCTGGGAGACTAGTATACAGCTGACAGATAACTCTACTTTGTTTTAATATTTAATGTAGTGCATATCACAGTGGGCATGACCAATGGCTTCTTCTTTTGTATTTCCCTGCATACATACGCCCAATCACAACCCCTCCATTAAGTCCAGACAACATCTGTTCTGAGGCAAGGCCCAAAAGGTCTGGCTAAACACAGCTGTACAGTCTACAATTGGCTACAATCATAAATAAAAATAAATAAATAATGAACTGTATAACAGACTGTGGGGGCCACACAAACATCTGATGGTCACCTGATGAGGACTTGGATGTTACACCCCCGAGTTTCTGTGTCGAGATGTGCCGACCTGGAAGCAAGATTTTGTTGAAAAGTTAATTCAAATGTCCCATCCCCGAGTGGCCGGCTAGGGGGTGGGAGGCTGCGGGCGGGCCTGTGGGCTTGCCGCTGATATCCCCCGGGACTCTGCCGGCTGCTGGTTGTGTGTACACCCCCCCCCCCCCCCCCGGGGGAACCTTAATTTTGAAAATCTAAAATTACAACTGAGTAATCTGATTTCTTTGGGCTTTCATTTGTGATCAAGAAGTAGACAGACTAGAAATATACTGGCTCGGCAACTGACATGAATTATTACAGTTCCTATTTTCCAGCTTAATACTACCCCAGAGGCGTATGCCATGACAGGTAAATCAGTTAATCCAGAAGCACCGCAGTGATTAGCGTGTTCATATTAGACAGTAAATACATTGATGCTTACAGAGGGATGTGAACGTTTGGGCAGTCTTGTAGTCTTCATCCTTTACCTGTGTACGTCTGTGGTTGCTACGGTAAAAATCTGTTAAATATATCCCACAGGAGACACACACAGTGATTTTGGAGAGTGAAACCAAGTTTAGGATTTACAGAGTGTGTGCAGGATTTGGTTAAACTAAATCAGGCAGGTGCATAAATGTGGGCTCTGTTGTCATTTTATTCATTCCAAAACGTTTAGAACTAATTATTGGAACTCAAAATGGTTTGGTAATCTCAGTGACCCTTGACCTCTGTACACAGGTGATTCTAGTTATGAGAACGAGTATTGAGAATAGAATAGAATAGAATAGAATAGCCTTTATTGTCATTGTACAAGGTACAGGGACATTGGAGTGCCACTCCCTTAGGTGCAAATTGTAAATGAATACAGGATAAAAATACCGAATGTCATAAATGTAAAATCAACTGTAATATTAATAAGCACACGCAGAGGAGCAGCATTTATGATGTAGCAGCATTAGTTGGGTTCTGTGCAGGTCACCGTTGTCAGCAGAAGTTGAGCATATCGAGTAAACACAAATAGCAAATATAAATGTTATTGCGTACTGAAACAGCAAATGTGTGGTTCGGGTTTACAGGATCATTCGTTTTGTGGTTGTTTATTACGGTGATAGCTCTGGGAAAGAAGCTATCCCTGAGTTTGTATGTCTTGGTTTTATGTGACCTGTACCATCGACCTGACGGTGACAGGTCACACAGATGGTTACTGGGATGAGAGTAGTCCTCGATGATATTGCCTGCTCTACTGATGGAACGAGAGTTGGAAATGTCCTCCACGCTGGGCAGAGAGCTGCCAGTGATCTTCTGGGCTGTGTTGATGACCCTCTGCACCACTTTCCTGTCTGCAGCTGAGCTGAACGGTTGTAAGTTCCCTCCTCTCTAAATATTCTCTGAACAGTTTAGGGGAGGATACAGAAAGCTGTCTCAGAGATTTCAGCAGGCTGTTTCCACTGTTAGGAACTTATTGAGGAAACGAAAGACCACAGGCACGGTTCAAGTTAAGGCTCGAAGTGTCAGCCCAAGAAAAATCTCAGGTTTTAACTTTAGGTGTTATTTTGTTGCTATAGAGGAATGGTGAGAACAGAGTCAACCCACAGACCAACACCAAAGACCTACAACATCCTCTTGCTGCAGATGGA